ATTGAGTAAGAACAATTACAATATTTAAAAATGAGTACAATTGTGGTTCATGTGTAGCCAGTTGTTGGCTGACGTGAATATTTTAATGTCAGTTATGGTCTTCAGATCAGCTGGTGATGAGCTCCACAGCTGCAGCTCCTGACAGAGAAGGCTGTCTGTCCTGCAGAATGTTCTTTACAGTCATGACTGGTGGAACTTCTAGTGACTCTTGCTGTTCTGTCTCAACAAATGTAAGTCACGGCTCAGGTGCTACACGACTGACGCATTTATGGAACAGTTTAAGAAAACAAAAACTAATAAAGCTATCAAAGCTCATTACATTATATTCCTTAATAATGTTACAGTGCTGATAGCGGATTGGCTTTTCATCCATAATTTGTATGTTGTAGCAATGATTAAAGAACTGAGGGCAGCTCTGAGTAGAGCTGGGTACTGTTCAAAGATATGAGGTACTGGTACTGGTGCCTTCACTTTGGTGTCGGTTCCTGGACGGTTTTTTTTTCAGTACTAATTTTATAATTAATATTAATTCTAACGAATAAAATTACGTTACACATTACAGTACAAATTGTGAGTTTTATTTTTTAACTTTGGTATTTTTCTATTCCAAGCAGTTTTCTTACATAAAAACAAACAAATAATTTCCAGTTCAAAGACCAGTTACAAACCAGTGACACGTCAGTGTCTAATGTTCACTGCTACACACCGAGGACCTTTTCACTGAACAGTTTTTCTTCAGAAACATCAACATGTCTGTTTTCTCTGGACACAAACCAGATGCTCCTGGCTGATGGTGTCTCCAGCAGTAGAACATGTTCACTCTGAGGCTGTAGATGATGATTGTTGCACACACAGATACCTGGTTGACCAGTTTGACATATTGTCCCTCACACCCCACCAGCAGGTCACTGGATTCACTGAGGTAGAGTTGATGCAGATTCTGCTCCTCTGTGTCTCTGCCTGGATCTTCTCTGTGGTTCTCTGGGGTTCAGGGCTCTGATCATCTCCCTAACTGACATGAGAACAAAACATCAACAACAACATGGTTGTGTTGTTGTCATCATTCTTTGTTGAAACCAGGTCTCTCTTGTAACTGAGTCCTGGAGGCTCAGTGGGATGAACCTGTATGAATAAAGGTTGAATGAATGTTATTGATCAAAAACCATGTCGGCTGAGAG